TATCTGGCGATCATCTCAAGCAGCTACTGCACCTTGCATCCTCCACGATTACGACCCGCTTTGACAAACTTAGAAATCAAAGCCAAATTAAATTTCTGTTAGTCTAAGGTGGGCAAAATAGAACCATTTTTCGAATCGAATAATTTAAATATTTTTAGCGAATACCAAAGAGTCGAGTAATGAATATTTTTTTTATACATAACAGGAATCCAAATGTCGGAGTTCGATACTCCATTTGGAAATTAATAGAAACGTTGTAAAGTAGGCAATAAAGCGTTTTTACTGGTTAATGGTTAAATTCATCATACCCGCTGATTGTCTTTGTCACCGAGATCGTTTCGGTGGCGATATCCTGAAGTTGGTTTTCTATATTCCCGCCCTTTCTCGTTTTTTGCAAGAATAAGGGGTCGCCGGATATCGAAGTTTCATATTTCTAGTTCACATCAGCGACAGCTGTTGAATATATTAGGGGCTGATTTCAAAACCAAATTAATTTTATTCTCTGCCTTGTATTTAATCTTTCTTATCACTGCTTGTAAATTAACCGTGCCTGTTTAAAGTGAACGGTAACCGAGATGCAGATATTTAATAAAATGATAATTGAGTTTGAGTTTTTCATGCATTTTTTATGGTGTTCGTGTTATTTTACTATTAGATAGATAAACCTAGTAAATAGCGATTAAATAAATAAGCAATAAAGGCATTTTAGTCCTTTGTGCCTAATAGAGGCTCAGACGCTAATTATACCTAATTCCTTCAAGTTTTACCGTTTTTTTTTTCAACAAAACAACAACCCGATGGTCATTATAGCTAAAATACTTCTGAGTAATGCTCAATTTTCTTTACGGAATTTGCAAATTCAGCACTTCACTTAATGATTTTGATTATGTCATGCCTTAAGGCTTAATTATTACTTCCGAAATGCTTCAAAATTTAACAATTGTAATCATTTTCGATGATAATAGGCGCAACAATTCGCGAACGAGTCAGTGTGCATTGTTACAACGAAATTCACGATTGATTTCACGTTCTACTCTTGGCTCAACGGCCATGCATGGTTTAGTAAACTGTTTACACATTCGAAACATTACTTGGCCAAGGATAGAAGGGATCACTAAAGAGCTAATACAAAGTGCTTTAAAGAGAGTAAGACATAACATTTCTTATCTGGTTACAACTTAATGAGTGTTTTTCATACGAGTAACTTATACCAGCGTTTGGAAAAAACTTCCGATCATTTTTAAATTCATGCTATTTTTATAACTAGAGTTTTCTAACGACCTGAAATCGCCTTTTTCTCAATTAAAGGCCGAAAAGTCATATTAACATTTAATTTTAATCAACTTTATGTTGGGTAATGCAAGAAAGGGCTAATTGACAAGTCACCAAGCACGCGGAGTTTAAAATCGGGGAATTTTATTTTAAATACCTAATCTGGTTTGACGTTTCTAAATTTACGGAACGGTCGGTACGTTTTTTTTTTGCAAAATATGGAATTGAAACGATACGTTAAGTGCAAAAATAAGCATATATCAACATAACCCAAAGACATCGACTTTTCAAATTTGTCTTTTTTTTTCTAATAGCGAGCGCCGTTGGGAAATCTCACACAATTTACGATTGAGTTGGAGGCGCGCGAGTTCGGTGCCCAAGCAGAGCGGCGCAGGTCACGTGGTACCGGATATTCGAATATTTTGCCCAGCCCTAGTTGTTACGTGTGTTGTTGTTACGATGACTTGGTATTTTAAATACGCGCTTAAGGTTTGTTGCTATTTCACCTTGCGTTGTTTGTGTGCGGCTCT